GTCGTTTTTGATTGGACTTAACTGTCCAGGGGTCCTTTACCTCATCATCATCATCAGTGCTTTTTTTCTGGGGGGACGCATACCCCTATACATCTGTGAATCTAAGTTTGGCCTCATTGAGGGGCAGTATTTCAATATGAGTAGGAAAATGAGAGCACCCCTAAACATTTTTAATCATTATCAGTAACAACATGAAAGATAAAGGGGTCCCCAGTTGTTCAGGGATTTGTATGTTAACAACACGACCTTCATTCAACCTGGCCACAGCATTCTCCATCAAGGGAGGCTCCACGTAGGTCATATTACAGTAGTCCAATGCAATACAGCCAGATAGGTGGGGTAGTAGTAGTAACAACAACAACAATGTTGATGTAGGTGGTGTACCAGCTTAACTTCAGCAAACTTCTGACCATGACAACAGGGTTAATTCACACACCCTCAAAAAATTCAGACTACTCACACATAAAGGTAAAGGTAAAGGTACCCCTGCCCGTACGGGCCAGTCTTGCTAGACTCTAGGGTCGTGCGCTCATCTCACTCTATAGGCCGGGAGCTGGCGCCGTCTGAAGACACTTCCGGGTCACGTGGCCAGCGTGACGGAGCTGCAACTGGCGAGCCAGCGCAGCACACGGAACGCCGTTTACCTTCCCGCTGATAAGCGGTCCCTATTTATCTACTTGCACCCGGAGATGCTTTCGAACTGCTAGGTTGGCAGGCGCTGGGACCGAACAATGGGAGCTCACCCCGCCGCGGGGATTCGAACCACCGACCATGCGATCGGCAAGTCCTAGGCGCTGAGGTTTTACCCACAGCGTCCCTGAGGTTAATGCTAAATCATGGGTATGCCCTGCCCTGTGACAGTTTGGAACAGATGCGTGGTTGCCATGGAGCCCATGATGACCCAAGCCAGTCAAGGGAATAAAATGATTGCTACCTTTTGAGGCAACCACAGTCTCCCCCCAAATGCTGGAGAATGATGCTTCATCTAGGGCATTATTGGGAGAGGGGATGGTGAACATCACCAAGAGCTTTGGGGTTGCAAAACAAAGAGTGCTGCTTCTTGCCACCTATTTGCTAAGCCTCCCAACTTACCGACTCCCCTCAGTTGCAGACCCCTTTCTACCCCTCTGTATTTCAAGCTGGAAGTGCGAAAACCGCTCATTCTGGCTTGATCTTGCAACAGTGCGGCTGCTGTAGCTCAAAGGACTGCTATTTGTCATGTTGTAGTCTTGCCTAAAGAGTCTTCATATTGGGTTAACATGGCAACAGAGTTTAAATTGGTATTTCCAGCAGCAAATGCGTTGAGGGTGTTTGTTTTTGGTGTGCTCTGTCTCGTTGGAAGAACCTGCTAGACACCAAAGCAAGAGGATTAGAAGGGGAGCTTTAACTGCAAAGCTGGATATCCTGCAAAGCTTAATTGAATCATGGACCTGAAGAACTATTGGACTTCGCGCAAAGGGAATTGGTTATTTCTAAGTAGGACCTGTAGCAAAATCTGCAGTGTCTGGCCATCGTTTAACAGGAGACTCTCCTCTGGTTTACTGTGTGGGTTGGTCAGGCAGGTTGTCTTACTTTTACACTAGATACTGGACTATGGATGGCCGAATCAGTCCATTTCCTGTCCAAGTCAGTTCTACAGTTCCGCACTCCATACGTGGAAGTTTGGCTCACAAGAGACTTGAAGATATGATAGAGAGAAACTAGGGGCGAAAAGATGTCATATTCCTACACAGATATTTGAAATATATCAAAAAAAATTCGTTCTTGCCCCAGCAGCTCATCCTTTCTTTTTCTTTTTTTTAAATAATATTTATTAAAGTTTCAAAGGGAAAAAAATCACATTAGTAAAAAAAAATTAACAATGAAAAGGAAAAATACAAAGTAGAAAAAAAGAAAAAACAGTTAAAAACAATTCCATCTTTTCCTCACTTCTTTTACGTTTACTTGTTTCCCGGACCTCCTCATACCTCCCTCTTTTGTATTCCAATTAAATTTGTTACTCCAACAATTCCTTTCCCTCCTTTTTAATCCTAATCTTTAATCTTGATATATTATAACTTTAAATTTTTACATATTAAAAACCAATTTTCCATATTCTTTTGTACCTGTACAGCTAGAAACCACTTAACTTCAATCCAACATCATTCTAACATTCATTAATTTTGCAATATTTCTGTAAATAGTCTTTAAATTTCTTCCAATCTTCTTCCACCGACTCTTCTCCCTGGTCACGGATTCTGCCAGTCATTTCCGCCAATTCCATGTAGTCCATCATTTTCATCTGCCATTCCTCCAGTGTGGGTAGATCTTGTGTCTTCCAATACTTTGCAATGAGTATTCCCAGCAGCTTATCCTTTTGGGCCTTTTTATGCTGCTTTGTGATAGGATGGACGGTAGTAGTGGATCTTATTTTTTGTTTGTTTGTTTCTGTCTGCAACAAAAGCCCAGTATGTAGAAATATCAAACAATGCAGCAGGCTGGACTATTATTATTTATTTGATTTATATAATGCCCTTTATCCAAAGATCCCAGGGCAGTGTACAACATTGAGAACATAATTTAGGGAGCATAATAAAAAATAATACAGAGCATAGTAATAAAAGTAGCATAATAACACAATAACTTTTCTTTCTGGTGTCCTCTATTTTTTTGTTTCATTTTTTTTGTTTCGTTTTGCTTGCTGGAAGTATTGGGGGGGGCGTTGGGGGAACATTCCAAAATGTGGGGTGGGAAACCTCAGGCTAAGGGGCTGAATGTGTCCCTCCAGTGCTATCTGTCTGGCCTTTGAGACTCTGGCCAGGCTGTGCCCATCAGTGACCCTGCTCTACACCCTTCCAGAGCGCTTCTGCCTAGGTGGAACACATCCTTTAAGCTCTGATAATACCTCTTGCCTGCCTGGAAGGACAATGGAGAAAGGGTACATGAGCTTGTGTAGCAACCAGCCCGCTGCAGAAAGTTAATTTTTTGTATTTGTTGGACCTGTCGGGATCTCAGCTCGGCCAAGCTGATAAAGCTCATTTTCTTCCCCCAAGTCTTCGGAATCTCCTCCCGATGTGTTTAATGACCTGAGCCTTTGATAAGGCTCCAAGGCACATTCTCCAGCAGGGTTTCCAGCACAGGAAAGAAACAAGAGGTTTGGGCTACATTGTAAAGAGTTTTATTTCTAAGCTACGGAGACAGAAAATACATCCTCTCTCTATGAAAGCAGAGAGCAACTGAACAAAGGAACAAAGGAAACAGGAAACCACTAACGTCACATCCTGTCTCTTTTCCCGTGAGACTTCCAACAGCCTGGAAGGTCTCTGGAATGTAAACAGAGTCCTGTGACTCCAAGCAGCTGCACAGTGATAAGAACAGAAACTAACATCCTCCCCCTTTCTGTGAACACCACTGGGCAGCGTGTCAGTACAATCTCAGTACAAACCCAATTTCTGTACGTAGGTACAGTGTTGATCCTTCGGAACAACCATAGACAATAAATCAGCAGGAATTTAATTACCTGGAATGTAGGACACCATTACAAGTCCTTTCTGAACACATTCTCTAGCATGTTGCAGCTTCAGTTGCAAGTGCCTCGTTTACAACCTTCAGAAGTCAGCAAAGCCAAACATGCTTTCTTGTCCTGATAAACCTAACAGGACCACCCTCTTTTGCCTCTTGCCCCACCCATGGCTGGCATGCGACCCTCCATCCTAAATTGTCCTCAGGACCTGCTGTGGGATGCAAGTGCTGTTGAGCTGGTTCAGAATACGTGACCGTGGTTTGCTGTCAAATTCAATATATGTGTAAGTGGATGGAATGAGAGGAGTGTGTGTAGAGACTTCTGACTTTTGTATGGAATGCAGCCCACTGTACAAGGGTAAAAGCTTCCTCCATTGCTCCTCCCATTTTTGCCTCTGTCCCTGCCCGCCACTGGCATGTGAACCCCCAGAAAACGAGGGAGCACAGCCCTTTTTCAGAAAGCTACGGTATGAAGTGGCACAGTTCCGCTGTAAATGTCGGGACTGTACCACTTGGTTTCCACTTCATTCTGCGCTCTCTCTCTCTCTGTGTATATATAGATCAGCACTTAGTTTTTGCAGAACAGAGACAGTGCTGCCATTGAGACACCACAGGGCTCTCTTGACTCCCTCCAGCATATGGAATACGGAAGGGGCTTGCTTTTAGAATTCGGCTTCTGATTACTGCTTTGATTTGGCTTGGAGCCATATATGTGGATTTAATCAGTCTGGCCAAACTGAGATACTAAGGAGGAGCTATTTTAACCACCGCACCAAAGGATAAATCTACAGGTTAACTGCTATTTATTTTTTCTTGCCTGTCTCCAGTTGCTATCTCTTGGGTCTCTTGGATTTTGAAAGAACAGCTGTTTTTGTCCTGTTTTACCTTCATAACACAGAACCCTGACAAATCCTTGTTTCTGTGACTTCATCCATACAAGCTGAAGAAGCGATCAAGCATAGCATTCCCGCCCCGCCCCCGCCCCCCATGCTGACTGTAGAGCTTTCTGTTTTTTCATTAAGTGCTCATGTACTCTGGTTATTGGATATCCTAAACGTGTCTGATATTTCTCAGTGAAAACTGGAGTTTCTACATACATATATTTGAAAGTAATCAAATAGAATTTGCAGGAACTATGTTTCATTTAGTGCCAGGGCTGTGCATAAGCCATCATTCTGCTGGAGAGCAGAAAATTTATTTCATTACAATTTATTGCAATTGTTTATTTTATTGCAATCCATTGCAATTGTTTACAATTCAGGATAGAATTCCTTCCAAGAAATAGTAAAATATAACAGTGTGTCAGAATCCTTCCCATAGGGCAACTGGTGGTAGACAACGTGAAATGTGGTACAGTTCAACTGGAGCAGACTGATGTATTAGTTGCCTGCCCCTCCCCCTGAAATTATCCTCACAGGGCATTTGGTGGTCAACTGTCTAGTTTTGAGGAGGGTGGGATGGGCTCTTCACCTGGAGCAAGCTTTGAGGTGTTGGTCTTTGCCCCCATCTCAGTTGGTAGAGCATGAGACTCCTTATCTCGGGTCCATGGGTTCAAGAGCCATGTTGGGCAAAAGATTCCTGCATTGCTGGAGGTTGGACTGGATGACCTTCAGGGTCCCTTCCAACTCTACAATTCTGTGATTCATTGATCTTTCCCTGTTCTGCAAGCCACAGTGGTTGTACAATACAGCTGTTGACCATGGGTACCAGTATTGCTTCCAAGTACTTTCCCTTCATCACATTGTTTTTACCTTTCATTATACCTTTCATTACCTTTCATATCTCCCGGTATGCCCCACGGAGAGCCTCAAGGTCCATAAATAACAACACGCTAGTGGTCCCAGGCCCTAAGGAAGTTAGATTGGCTTCAACCAGAGCCAGGGCCTTCTCAACACTGGCTCCGGCCTGGTGGAATGCTCTGCCTCATGAGACCAGGGCCCTGCAGGATCTGATTTGTTTCCGCAGGGCCTGTAAGACAGAGTTGTTCCGCCTGGCCTTTGGTTTGGAGCCAATTTGATTCCCTCCCTCCCTCTCTTTCTTTTTTCTTTTCCTTCTCCTCCTGCGATGAGGCTACATTTTAATATTTTAATGTTCCATTATTTTAATGTTGTATTTTATTTTTGTTTTTAAGTTGTAATCATTCATCTTGTTTTTATTATTGCTTGTAAGCCGCTCTGAGCCTGGCCTTGGCTGGGGAGGGCGGGGTATAAATAAAAAATTATTATTATTATTATTATTATTATTATTATTATTATTATATATGCAGGGTGAGGTATGCTTCGTATGCGAGATGCACGACAGACCATACCCGAAATGGTTTTCTAGAGGTACAGTTGCGAAGTGTGGAGGTGACAAATACGTTTGCAGATGTATGTGTCATACAAATATATTTAATGGAGGCAAGGCTGACTGTGGCTCCCCGCTGAGCATAGTTTCTGGCACCGCACCTTGGTTCAATTTACTTTGGTGCTGGATGTTCATTAATGAGAATGCAGGGGAGAGGGAAAAGGTTTAATAAAACCTTTCTTCACTTTTATGATATTCAATGTCACTCAAGTGGACCTAATCATCATCATCTCCCTGGTACAGCCCCTCACCAACCCCAGCTCCAAGAAATAAATAAATAAAAATCTAGTCCCCCTCCAGAGCAGATTCTGGGTGTGTTCCAGGGTGGAGAGGAAGGGCAAGTCCCATTGCACAAGAGAAAGTCTTAATTGCTCGTGAGTGGACACATGCATGTTTGTGTGTGTGTGCACACGCACCCACTCAACAAGTTAATAGTAATAATAATGATATTTATACCCTGCCCATCTGGCTTACAGCATATCTAAAAACATAATAAAAACATCAAGTGTTAAAAACCTCCCAGAATAGTAGTAGTAGTAGTAGTAGTAGTAGTAGTAGTAGTAGTAATTTAAGCAAGTATTTTGTATGAAACCCTTCTCTCTTCCCCCTCCCCTTTCCCCCAATCCATCTTTTGTATTTCAAACCATGTATTTTGGTTCTAAACTGTTGGCCACCTGTTCACCAGTACTTCTCCCTCTGATCTGAAGCTTTAGCGCTTTTACAGAGCGGAGAATGAAAGAGATCCTAGCCAGCCTGGACACTGCAACAGTGTCACCTCATCATGCAGCCAATGGAATATGGTGGTTATATGGCGGCCAAATCAGAATGAGGGCGCTGCTTCTTGCCCTCACTTGATTAAATAGGCTCAAGGGTCATCTCAGTCACATCTAAAGACTGGCTCAAGATTCAGGTGGCCATCTGTCATGGATGCTTTGGCTGAGATTTCTGCATTTCAGGGGGTTCGACTAGATGGGGCTTGGGTCCCTTCCAACTCTACAATTCTGTGATTTCTTGATGCTCCAGTCTTCATGTAATTAATCTGCAAATGTGAACCACCCGTGAGACTGGACCTTGTGAGTGTGTGTGTGTGTCAGAGAGAGAGCGAGAGCGAGAGCACGCACTCGAATAAATTCAGATATAGGTATATAAAATGTTGGGCAAAATAGCGAACAAACTAGTGACTAACTCATTAGTCTTCTGAATATGCAAGGCAGGAGGATTAGATTTGGGAAGGTGACTAGTCTTAATTTATTGAACCTGCTATCCATTCTCTATATACCGTATTTTTCGCCCTATAGGACGCACTTTTTCCCCTCCAAAAATGAAGGGGAAATGTGTGTGCGTCCTATGGGGCAAATACAGGCTTCAGGAAGCTCTGCGCAACCCTCGGGAGACTGGCTCCGAGGGTCGCGCAGAGCTGCCTGCAGTCCCAGGCTCAGTGCAGCTCTGCGCGGCCATCGGGAGCCGGGCGCGAAGTCCCGCCCGGTTCCCGATGGCCGCACAGAGGTGCCTGCAGTCCCGGGCTCTGCGCGACCATCGGGAGCCGGGCGCGAAGTCCCGCCCGGCTCCCGATGGCTGCACAGAGGTGCCTGCAGTCCCGGGCTCAGCGCACTTCTCCCCATCGCCAGCCCCACAAGCTCGGAGGACAGTGGGGAGGCGAAGCGCGCCTTCCCGCTGTTCCCCGACCTGGTTCTTCCAGCCTGGGGGGAAAATAAAAAATTCTTTCTTTATTTCCCCCCCAAAAAACTAGGTGCGTCCTATGGGCCGGTGCGTCCTATGGGGCGCAAAATACTGTATCTCTTCCTTTTGCAGACTGGTATAGAGTAGCTGAGATCTTGAGATGTGAGCACCAGGTTCCCCATTTCAAATCTCACCTCAGCCACAAACTCACTAGATGCCCTCAGGCACGATTCAATCCTTTGCACTCAAGGAGCTAATAGTTCCTGATTTTACATGGCTTTTGTAAGGATCACTGAGATAACATCTGCAAAGTGCCTTGAATACTTGGAATGCATTGTATTAATGCTGTAGTCTTCTTCTCAGCGGGTTCTGAAGAGCTTATCTGCTTAGTTTTCACTTTGAGGAAGAATGAGGTCTGGTCTTTCCTATAACTTAACGAGAAGGCTGCCGGGGGTTTGCCTGCCTCACTTAGAGCTTTCCAAACTGGTGTCGGCTGCAGTGTGTAGGTGTGTTATGCAAATGCACCCCACACTCTTCCCGGGGCTGGAAAGGGGTTAGTTTAACCTCCGGTTTGCTAGTAAAACTTAATTACTCTGTCACGAAACGATGCGTGTCTAAGAAGTGTGTCACCAACATGGAAAGTTTGGAAAGCTCTGACTTAGAAAATGGTGCTGCTATATCCCCCCCCCAATAAGTCCCTGTTCTCAGGCATGTTTTACTATCCTGTCTTGCTTTTAGGTGGACGTTTGCCCTTCCTGAAGATCCACTAAGACACCCAAATACTCCGTTGGTCTCTTTTCTGAGTGGTGGCGTAGAATTGCATACTTTCTTCTTCCGTTTTGTTTGATATCATCCGGGTGGTTTAACCACATCTTAACTTTGTTTTCTCATTGACCATTTTATTAGGAAGGTGGTTTTAATACTGCATGCTATGTCTTGCAATGGCTGCACAGATGTGTGGGCTCACAGCTGCTCGGCTCTTTCATGATCCTTTTTGCTCCCGCTGAGCTAAGCTAAGGTTTGGTTTAATGTGTCATCCAAACCCGGGCTCATGGTTAAGCTGTCTCCTCGCTAACCACAAGCTGTAGCCAAGAACAGAACTTGGCTGCAGCTCGTGGTTAGTGAAAAGAGCTTAACCACAAGCCTAGTTTCGGACAACGCACAAAGCAAAACCTTGGCTTAACTCGGCACATTGGAGCAGTAAAAAGGACTGAGGAGGCTGCAAAGTGTGCAGCCCTAGTAAGTCAGAATTTGCCTTAATGTTTTGTGTGAACCAGGCCTATGAGAAAACTCAGTAAATGCATATCAGAACTCTTGGAAGAGAAGTATCCAGACCCTCCCAGTGCATTTCAGTTTGGGAGCGGATGCTTACGAACCTTGAGTGCTGAAGAGACAAACTACCATCTTTCCACTCTGGAGAGCTGTGAGAAATGCTACTCTGGAAAATGTTCCTAATAAACTACAGCTCACACCATGTCTGTACTTCCCGTGCAAAGGATGATTTCCCTATTACTGAACTTACTATTTTTATTTATTGAACACATGTTTGGCACACAGTGGCTGAAGATGCTGTGGTGTCTATGAACCCAGGCGTACTGATTGAGTGTGTGGTTTTTTTGGGAAAAATTCTCACAATTTGATCTTACATAATAGAAGATGTTGCAATGACGTTTGGATGCAAGTGTTTAGCACCCTCCGACTCCTCCCCCTTCTCCCCCAAAGCCTTTATTACTGCTTCTATGATGTTAATGTCCCTCTTCTTTGACTTTGTCATCCCAGAACTCTGTATCTGAGAGCCTGTTTTATAAACACTGTTTACAGCTAAATCCTGCCATTTTCTGAACGCCGTTCCTGATGTCCAACCCTCTGTGCTGGATTCTGTAGTTCTATCTTAATGTTTTAAGGGGAATCAATTACCTTTTTTTTACCCCTTGTAATAGTGTGTTTCCCTTCTTCGATCCTTTCTTTCTTCCTACTTTTCCTTTCAAAACTAATTTACTTGCACCTTGCTCTCTCGTTGCTGTTGGGCCTTTTTGCTTCATTATGGCTCCTCCCACTGAATGATTGTGTCCAATCAGTTGGCAGGCAGAGCTCCGCCCCTGCTTCGGCCGCCATGAGTGCTGCCGGCCTGGCTGAGCAAGGTATGTGGCATGAGTCGTATATCCTGAGTGCCTGAACCTAGAGTTACCTATCCGCCTACCCTCCACCAACTCCACAACCAGTTAAAACCAGCATGCCAGTGTTTGTGAACCCAGTGAGAAGCCATCCATGCTTGCTGGCTGAGAAATGGGCATGTACTAAGGTATCCATCTAACCAAGAACCATAACCACATGGATTTTAAGTCTACTAACAAAGTGTGCATGTTGGGTTCTTAACCCAGTCCTGCAATGAATCAGCACATGAGATTTGGAGGCAGGGATTGGTCGGATGTGGGGTTGCCAGTGCCTGCTGTTTGAAGGGGATTTCAGAAGGTGAGTGTATCTTAGAGTGAGGGGAGCAAACATGCCAGCAAACTGGCTTGGCAAGGGTGGGGATGCTGTTGT